TTCCTGTGAGCAGGCATGTGTGTCTGTGAATGAGTATGTATGTGTATGCTTGTGTGAGTAGCTGTTCTAATGTGCATATAGGTGCATGTATATGTGCACACATGCTTGTGTACACACGAGTGGGCCTATAAAGCACAGCTCTATCATGGAATCATTGCCGTGAACCCCCACCCCTGCCCGGAAGACTCAGCTCAGAAGGCTTTTCTCAGATGCGCTCTGATCATTAAAGCTCTGTGCAGCTACCTCTGGAGTTTTAGACATTCACTTGATTGAAATGACTTGTTTTTGTGTCATCACCAAAAGGGAGGCTTTAGCAGTTCATTCGGTCATTTAGTGGATACCTGTCTGATACTCATACAAAGCCCCAAGGTTAAGGAAACAAAACAGTTATTTCTTATCCTTTAGATCTCAACTTAAATGTTACTTCTAAGAAGGGTTTTTCCTGGACACCCTATCGTATGTAGATGCCCCCAATCCTGTTTTTCTCTAAGTCAGTGTTCTTTTTGTTTTCTTCATAGCATCCATTATAACTTAGCAGTGTTGTATTTTGGGGGTTCTCTTTATATAGACTATCACCTTCACTCTGGGGCAGAGACTGTGTCTGTCTTGTTTAAGACCAAGTCTGCAGAGCCTACCACAGTGTTTGGCCCAAAGGATGGTGAATGGTCCCTGAGGAGTTCAAGTCTTACTGATTAAAACTAGAGGATAAATCCTCTTATTAACACATCTTTAGTATTTACAGCTCTTTGCTTTGTATACCAAATGATTGTGCATCTTCCATCTTTTCCTCTTACCTTGGGCTGCAGAGCAATGCTGAGAGAGAGCCTATAGCCTAGTGGATCAGCCCTATTACCTAGTCTCATTTTGGCGTTAGCACTGCTTCGCTTGTGGGCTCTGATCCCTGGCTGGAGTGGGAAAGGCATGTAGCCATGAAACTGGCTTAGGCTAGAGAAAAAAATTAGCCACCAGTATGCTCATCCCTTCCTCAGCCTTTCTCTTCCCAAGCCATTGAGTGTGTCACTTACCTGCCAAGCCTAATGTGGAGGCTGTCCCCCAAGATAGCCTAGACTATTTGTGATGTAAAACCTGGACAGAAACCTTCCCTATCCATGACTTCTACACCAGCTTTCCCCCAGGACCCCAAGCTTCTTCATAATTCAAGCCTTCCAGGCCCTACCCCATTCCATCATCAGGTACCTCCTGGAGCTGGTCCTTTGGTCATTTGCTGCTCAGGTGAGGTCCTGCCCAAAGCATCAGGGTGTGCCAGCCTTCATATGGAGCGTACTGCCCTCCCCCACAGGCTAGGCTGCAGAGCTGATCTTCAGATGCCAAGAGCCTAAGATAATGAACAAGTTCTCTGCACTTTACTCTGAAAATGAATCCCTACAGCTATTTACAAAAAGTCCGTAGATCTGTTCTCCTATTCTTGTTGGATGTAGCAAGCATCCAGAAAGGAAATGGGGTGCCTACAATTTTGTTCCCTTGTCCCCTGTACTTTTTTTATGTAGACATCCCTATTCTCTTTGCAGTACCAAGTTAGGGGATGGGTGTAGGTCCTTGTTTGGAAAATCTAACTATATGCTAGTTACTAGACCCTCATATATCTGGCGGAATGACTTCTAGCTTCTTTAGGCATTGGCCTTTGACCTGGCTTTCCAACCAGTTTGGGAAGAAGTCAAGGAGGTCCAAAGTGAGAGAAGGGCATGAATTGTCCACCATAGACTGAAACAAATACCTCAGCCCATAGGGAAATTCTATAGATTTATGATGAAATCAGATTGTTTTCCTTAACTGTAGAGTTTGTTTTAATATATTTATAGATGCACCTAAACAGTCATTAGTCTTGACTATACCATTTCAAATTAAGCCAAGTACTCTTAGATAATTCTTCTTTTCAAGTCTCCATTCAACTGTAGACTCCCCCCTACCCCCACCCCATTTTAAATTCTTTGCTACAATCCAGGGAACTATATGATTTTCTCTAAAACTAGTTGCAGCCTAGGTACATGCCTACTCGTTATAAATGATAAATGTGTTCTCGTAAGATGTTAGTTGTTTTGGGGTTCCTCCTTGTCACCCTTGAGTAAATAGTTCTTTGTTTTTTTCCCACAAATGTCTATAAAGAGAAGATAAAATGATGGGTTCATTCATTTATTAGTCCAAGAAATGTTTAATAAGTCTGACTCTATCTCAGACATCATCCTGGGGTCTTTGAAGAAGGAAAGAAGTCCATCTATAATTTATTCACATGGAAAGTCCCCAATTTTGGACTTGAAGAGCATCTTAGCATGTGGGGATAGCTGCCTGTATCTATATAAATAATTCTTTCTACACGTAAATTCTTTTAGACCAAGAAATTCAACGTCTGAAAGTGGGGATGGAAACTTTGCTGGTTGCCAACGAAGACAAGGTAAGACGGTTGGTCATTGGGCTGCCCTGTCTCTTCTGTGCTGACATCCCTGCCTGTCTCTGATATTTCGGACACGGCAATGCCCATCAGGCCATTGACTCAGGGACGTGTCAGGAGAATGCCCTCTGCCTTCTAGAGAATAAACCTTAAGCACCTGTTTTTGGCTTTGATGTCTGGGAACTTTGCCTAAATGGAATCCCCCAAATGCAGATTAAAGCCATGGCTGTTTATGCTGATGTGTGTTAAAAAATACCACTGTGATTACTGCCAATACCATCGTTGCTCCTTAGACTCCTAGCAAAACTCTCCAACATGCATGATCCAGTGATAGACCCATCATAGAGATACTAGGCAGTTTGCAGTGTTATTTACCCTGCCATTTTCTATTCTTCACATCTAATTCCTGCATAATCATAAAATAACCACCTCTAGAAATATTGAGTACCCACCTCACACGAACATCAGCTTGGAGGATCACAGCCCTGCAGTTTACAGATGAGGAAACAGACTCAAAGTAATTAAGTAGTTTTGCCCCAGATTAGGTAACAGTAGATAGCAGAACTAGAGTTCACACCCAAGTTTGTCTTACTCCAGAATCTGTGTGGCCTCCCAAGTCCCTGGGCCTTTGCTGAAGGAAATGATCCCTCCAGGAATGTTCTCTGTTGTATAAGGAACCTCAGACTCCTAAGGAACAGGCAAGGATATTGGGATAAATAGACAGCTTTATTTTAGTCTTTTTTTTTTTTTTGCATGTAGCTCTAGAGGATATCACTTGGACCAAGAGACAGATTTTAATGGTTATCTCAGGAGGGTAGGGAGACAGGGAGCTTCCTCTTCTGGAAATGTTTAAGCCCCACAATGGCTATGTCGAGCAGGGATTGTTTTATGGCTAGAGATTGGACTCAGCCTTCGAGGAGAGACAAGGGTGCCTGCAGCTGCCTCGGAGGCAGATCACTGAGAACCCAGGCTCTGAAATGGGGCCTTGACACAGTGTTTCCCTTTAGAATGCTCCATAGGTTTCACATGGCACCTTTTCTCAGTGGGCCTGGAATATAGCCTGGGCTCCAAACAAACTCACCCGAGGTGCCAGTGGTGGTATTTACATGTAAGTCTGCTCCCGCACTGTGACAGGACCGTCGGATAGAGGAGCTCACGGGGCTATTAAACCAGTACCGAAGGGTGAAGGAGATTGTGATGGCAACTCAAGGTAAGAGCTACCCCTGGGGATTCCACCGTTCTCTCTCAAAAGTATTCCAACTACTGTTAAACCCAGAGGCACTCTTGCCAGAACATTCTTCATCTTCATTCAGAGAAGATCCTCTGCTGGAGGACAGAACTGGTTAGGCTGTCCTGGATTGTGGGAAATTGGCAGCTGTTAAGATTTCCAGAAATTTTGTCAAATGGCACTCAGTTCAGGACACCTAGGGACTATCCAGATCACCAAGAAAATAAAGCCTTCAACTTGAGCCCTGTGGTCAAGGAGTGAGAAGGTCAGAGAAGAAGACTACAGGGTACCTTCTCTCTGTTCCTTATGTGAGCTTTGACCTTTGACCTCAAGATGACACTCATGATAGTCCTTGCTCAGATGCCCCGAAGAAGGTTTCGAATCATACTTAATGTCCCTTTATATATTTCTTAGTTTTTCTTCATGAGTGAAAAACAGTGTTAGAATTTTGTTGTACAATTACAGGTTTCTGAATAAATCACAATAGTGATCATCTCTTCTGCATTACTGCTTCCAGGGCCTTTAGAAAGAAGTCTCTCAATCAATGAGGAAGACCTGGAGGGAAGTTTCAGAAAGTGGAACACTACAAATAAAGGCCCTGAAGAATTATTTAAACCAGAGGTGCTGTGTTTCCATTCATTTTGTGGGGTTTCAGTAGGCCCTAAGAGCTCACCCTAAGCACAGGGGTAGATCTAATTAGGCACCTGTTAGGCATAAATCTTGACAGGTGAAAATTTAAATCAATGAAGTGGCCCTGGAGGCCTTGGGGAGAGCATCGAGGGAAGCAAGGGGCCCAGGAACAGGCCGGTTCCACTTGGGACAGCAGAGTGGACACTGGACTTTCAAGAGTAGGGATTTTCTTTTTCAATCCAGTTCCTTGTTTCTTTTTCTTTCCTTTCTGGACTGTAAGCATAGACCAAAGATGTTGTTTGCTTTATTTACCACTGTTTCTCCAGGGAATTCAGTAATACCTGGTACTTAGTAGAATTCAACAAACATTTATTGAATGAATGGATGCATCTTGCTTATTTAGAGAGATAACTGCAAGTTTTGAAGTGATATATTCCTATGTCATAAATGTCCCCTCTATCCCCTATAACCAACACTAAGATTTTCTTTCTCTTTTGCTTAAAATCTAGTCCTCTATGGCCATACCACCCTGAACATGCCCGATCCCGTCTGATCTTGGAAGCTAAGCAGGGTCGGGCCTGGAAGACTGGGTGCTCTAGGCATTAAAAAAATCTATTCCTATTATATTAGTCTCTCTGGACTTAGGCTAGATACAAATAAGCAAATAAATTCATAGATACAGATCTCAGGTAGAGAAGGAGCTTCAGCCTAGCATCTAAAAGGTTTTAGAAACTCCAGTACAGTCAAAATGAAAAGAATCTTAGTGGTCCAGCTCAACCCTTTTAATTAAGGGAGGAGCAAAAGTGTCACCCACTGACCCAGTTACCTAGTCACAGCAAGCATTCCAGATTGTTGGCAATAATAAAATAGCGGTAACTATTTTATGCATATGTATTTTATACATCTATATTTTATACAGTATGTATTTTATACATCTATATTTTATACAGTATGTATTTTATACATACTCAGTACCTCTGTGCTGTCACTGCGGTGAGCACTGTATGTGACTCACCTCATTTACTCCTCATGACATCCTATCAGGATTCTTACTTTATTGTGATGAGGCTGAGGTTGAGAGGCTAAGTAATCTGCTCTAGGTCATACAGCAAGTAGATGACAGAACCTCGACTTGAACTCAGGTTTATGTGACCAAAAAGCCCTAGCTTTTAACAACTATACTATAATGCCAGGGTTCTTCCTATAGTAGACCAAAAAAATACTGTGCTCTAGAGAAAGAGATGGTTTTTGCAGTCGGTGCAATACTGAAGACATGAGACACTGTGTGTTTATACACAGCTATTAGCTCATGTTCATGCCACCTGTGATTCACCTCCTTTTCTTGCTTACTTGGTGAGCCCATTCTCACTTCTCAAGATTTAGCTCAAGTGTTCTTCCCTCTGAAGTCTTCCTAACCTCCCTACCAGCGAGAGGGAGGCCTTCTCTCCCTTCCTTCCCCATGTTGTTATAGGTATTGGTAACATAAGGACATGTTTTGTTGATCTTTTATCCTAATTAACTTATCTACCTCCCTCATGTAGGGAGTGCTCACCCTACACCTAGCACAGGGCCTGACAGGCAGTACATATTGCTCACATCTCTCGAGTGTATCAATTGTAATGTTGCTCATTGCAAGTAAGATAAATTGACTCTGGCTAACCTATGCCCCAAAGGAATGTTTTTAAAAAAGTGTGCAGTGGCTCACTGAATGAAAGCAAAAGCTCAAGGACCAAGCTCAGAAAGGGCAAGAGCAGCAAGAGCCCAGGGATTCAGGTCTCAGGACCCTTAATAAGATGAGAGCTTTGATCCAGGTTGTCCCATGTTGTTCAATTACACCTACCTCCTTGGCATCTTGAAAGAGCAAGGCATCGGAATCGAGGTAGCCATCACAGCTGTACCCAGGGACAGAACTGTAACTCCCCAAGAGGAATCATCTAAAGAAGGGGAAAGGGTGGTAGGTGGTCTCCAAACGGTGACTGTCCTCTATGGTGACTCTTCTGTTTCTGATGCAGATGCCTCCAAGATGTAGCTCTCCCACGGTGGGGCCACCTCCGCTACCGCAGAAATCACTGGAATCCAGGTAGGGCGTGTAAGCATTTCCCTGGAACTGCTGTGCTCTCAGGCCCCTCTTGGGGTTCCTGACATGGCAAACGCTGCCTAGTATGTCAAACATGACCTCCGTGTCCTGGGTGCACCTGCTCTCCCATCATCAGGACAGCAATCCAGGCCTCAGTAGTGGCCACAATGGGGCCAAAACCATGGAGTGGTCACGAGCCATGCCTCCCACCCCTGGCAACAGGGGCTTCCCTTTCCACAGGCTGAGGGTCTGAGTCATTGTCACTGAGAAAAGAGCCAGCCAGGGCTTGGAGCCTCACGAGTGATGGCTGTACCTCACCATGCCCTCCAGCAGCTCCTTGTTGCCGAGAGCATCCCATGATGTGTGCTTGTCATTTCCATCAGCTCCTTTGGAATGTCCTTTCTGCTCTCAGGGTGAATCTCTCTCTGTGACAAGCCACACTCTCTAAGGAGGGCCATTCCTCCTACGGGGAAGTTGTTCCAATTGCTCTGGGGAAACTTCGCTTAGCAATGAACTTACATAAGGGGCTAGCCCGTGAGGTCACTAGGCTCCCTCCAAAATGAGCCTATTTCTACTTCCCTAAGTCAGCTCTTTAAAACACATTTCCAAGTAATGGAGATATGGAACTTCACAGCCAAGAGCAGGCTGTCTTTCAGCCAAGGCATCTGGAGAAAACAGCCACAAGCATGATGGAAGCTCCCCTAGAATGGTGCTAAGTCTCCAAAGTGTGCACTTTCAGAACCACTTTCCAGGGAGCCATCGTTTCCTGAGCTTTTAGCCCAAGAGAAAAATGGCAGTGTCAGAGAGGGCAATTGGCCAGTCCTTAGTTTTGCAGCATAAGAAATTTGGCTTATGAGTTCCCTCGGGAGGAAGCCTACACTGAATAACTCACACTGACCAGACTCACAGAGACTAACGTACAAGCAGATGCTGATTTATTCATATAAATTGAGAAATATCACTGCCAAGGAGATTTGTCACCAGGAAACCCTTGTGACCACTAGTGGCATTACCTCTTCTCTATCCAATTAGTGCCCTTTTCTGCAAAATAGTTCCCAAGAAAGTAAATTCTTCTGAACAGCCTCCTCAGTGCATACAGAGCCAGTGTAGAGGGTTGGAAGATCATAGCAGGTAATGCTTTGGAGCTGGGGCTAGCCAATGTGCTCATCTCTGCTCTAAAATAATCCCTCCTCCCTAGGTTATTCTTAGATTCGCAGACACGACAGTATTGTCACCTTTTCTCTGTAGACAATGGTTTTTTTGTGACCAGAAAACAGCTCACATTGATGCAACAGAATTGATGGAACAGGCACGCCAAAGACCAACACATTGTCAGACCAGGCTATACCCTGAGATGGGCCAGTTTCATACATAATGATTATGATGAGAGGGTGATTTTTACCTGGCCTTGACCCTAAGCTGAAGACAGACTATTGGTTAAACATCTGGAATGTTTCTGCACGAATGATACCATGTGCTTCCTTCTCCAGTAACTCTTTCTTTTGTTTTTCTAGGGCTCAGAAAAAACTCTCCTGTAGTCTAGAAGACTTGAGAAGTGAATCTGTGGATAAGGTCAGCTTATCAGTCTCCACAAGATTACTTCTTTGTGTCCAGCACAGTGGTGGGACACACAGGCAAGGTCCTCGTCCCCACCTTGTGGAGGCTTTTATGAAGTTGATTGGGAGGCAATAGTTACATGGATAATTTGAGAAAACCAGTCAGGTGTAGCCCAAGGCATCTCAGAGGCCGAGTAAGTCAGAAAATGCTTCCTGCAGTTGGTGAGAGATGTCGAGTTAGGCACATGCAGGTTTGGGGAAATGGTGGGGAGCAGGAGGAGGTAAGGTGGAAGTCATGAGGCAGATTAAGCCAGAGATCTTGAATACTGGCCTTGTATCTCCAGGAGTGAGTTATGGAATAACTGAGAAAGTTAGAGAGGAGGGTTTTTAAAGAGTCTGGAAATATATGAGCAGGGCTTTGTGGACCCTCACATGAAGGTAGTGGGTGACCCCCAGGCTGGAGGGGAAGGTTGCAGTCTCTTTTGTGAGGTCATTGGAGACGAAGGGGTCCTACCCTGAAAGAGCATCTTCCTTGAACCCCACTGCATAAGATCCCTTGGTCTCTAGCAGTACACCAGCCTCCCTGATAATACAATAACGTCTCAGGCCAGCAGGAGCCAGGGCCCATTCACTGGTTTTACTCCCCCAATCATGTGCCTCTCGCTCCCCCTGGTCAGATTGCGAGCAGCTGCCCAGGAGATCATGGGGTTGGTCAGAGGCCAGTGTTTCCTGCCATGGATGGTGATTACCTAGCGTAAAGATGGAGAAGGAGGGGATTAACTTTGCAGATTTAAGCCAGAAGGTGGTACTGAAGTGTTATTTGTGACTAACATAGGTCTCTTTTTCCCCACATAATTGATATCCTCATTGCCATTTCATAGTGTGTCGATGGGAACCAGCTCTCTCCAGTGGGAGAACCCAAGGTACGTTAACTGCATGTCCTTATGACATATTTGTGGTTGCATTATTTGCTGAAATGTTTTCATTTAGCAAGTTACAACTTTTGTAACCTTAAAATATGTTAATTATAAGAGGTAAGAGGGTGAGAGAAAAGACAAAACTTTCTTATTTGTATATGTATCCAGCTGTATCATGTACTTTTACCTCCATTATCTGTGGGACAGGATTTATTATTATTTCCTTCATTTTCCAGGCTCAGAGAAATTCATCTTTAACCAGGCAATGTAGATCTGATTGCTGGGAAGGGAGATGTTGTGATCTCAGCACACAGTTAGAGGAATGTGACAACTCTCATCCTTTCTGTGCTGATATGTTATAGTTAAAAAACACAGGAATATACTCAGCCAAAGTTGCAAGAAAAAAGGGTGACTATCCCTTTTTTTCTATGACTGAGAGTTAATTACACTCTAAGATACTCTCTGTCTGGGCTTCCCTAGAATGTGCATTGCTGATCCTGCCTCTCCCTCTGGAGCCCATGGAATAATAATGTCATTCTTCCCTGCTTCTGACAGCTCTAGAATTTAAGACCCTCAGGCTAAACATCTTCTTCTCATGATCACAAGCCTTTAGCTATTCGGTCTTCTTGGATCGGCACCAGTTTCACAGTGTATCCTCTAACTGTGCCCTGGACTACACTTGAGTGTGATATTCTAGATGGGGTCTGACCTGTGCCTCGGGACTGCTCTTATAGTTATTGCTATCACTCCAGGCCCTGGGCACATGGTCTTTTCTGTGCCTCTGTTTATGTGCTAGACCTGAGGCAGAAATTGTTATTCTCTATTTAGAAGCGATAAAATAGAGGTTCTGGGAGGCTAAAGAGAAAGGACTTAGCCTGAGTGGGTCTGACTCAATGCTTTGGCGCTTCCCACTTGGATGTGCTGCCTCTCCATGCTAGGTAATCAGTTATATGCTGCTCCCTGGCTGGAATTTCCATTCCCCGTAACCAGGTTTATTCTGAGAGACCAGAGAAGCAGAACTGATTCCAAGCATTTCTGTTGCCTCTGCATCCCAACCCGACCTTGCACAACCTTCTCCAGCTGCTGAGTCCTTCCTTTCCAGCATTGCTTCTTAGTGGAACAAAGCTGAGAGCAGTTTCTGTTGCCCTCGGTTCCTTTTGTTATCTTTCTCACTGGTCTGGGCCGCCTTTGAGACCCATCCTTGGGTTAAATTTGTGCTCTCTTTTCATCTTAGCTCCTCAATGAGTTCCCAGGGTAGCCCACATAAATGGCCTTGGTTGTCTCTGCCTCGTCTTAGGAGAATATGTGTGATGACACAACCAGAAGTCTGTTCTCGAGAGCCCTTCCCCACTGCCAAATTTCCTATATAGTACGGAACTTGGAGACATGCCCTTTAGTTCTCTAAACTTTTTAAAAGCTGCCTTCCCCACAGTCAGTGGTTCATGGGTCTGACTGTGCATCAGAATAATTGATAGGCTTGTTAAAAATAGAGACTCCAGAGTATACTCTCAGAGTGGCTGATTCATGAGACCAAGTGGAACCTGGGAATTTATATTGTTTTTAATAAGTGTCTCAGGTGATAAGGAAGCAGCCAGCCAGACTAGTATTTGGAAACCATTGTTCTTAGCGCATGTCTGACCAGATTCAGTCTCTACCTATGAATGATCATGAACTTAAAAATCACTTGGTCTCCATCTCTCAAAATTGTGATTATATCTACTTCACCAGCCAGTTCTTTCAGAATTCCTTGAGAATTTAGCCTAATTTTCTCATATCTCTCCTTTCTGAGCTTATTTACAGAGCATTCATATTCAATGTTCAACGAATGATTGGATTTCAAATAATTTCTAGGACATGCATGTATAAGCAAACTGAATTCAGAAATTTACTTGGTACTTGACTTTTAACTAAATGAAACTCCAAAAGATATCTCAGTACTGAAGTCTCTCATTACTTTTCTGACTTGCCTGTTTTGAAATCAGTTTTGTCTTTCATATTACTTTTTTCCTGGGTCCAACCGAGGGATCCATAGTTGATTCTCTTGGTAATGTTACTTCAAATTTTTTTTTTTTAAATTCTCACTCAAATGTATTCCACTGTGATTCCCTCAGGTTTGCAGATTTAGGGGTCATTATATCCTTCTTAACCAAATAAGTCCAATTTGTCTTCTTCTTTTAATCAACCTGTTTCTTTGGGACGCTTTCTATGGCCAGGGCCCATTGTACTGAGACTGAACCTCATTCGGACTATGATTCTAAGTTCCTGGGGGACTCCGCGTTGACATGTAGCCCTTTGGCTTGTTTTCTGTTGTCATTTCCCCTTACTGTGTGCATACTTTCTCACTTTGCCTTGATCTGATATTTTTCAAAATAACTATTATAATATATAATAATTAATATGCACTATATTAATTATTTTTAGTAAAGCAATAGCTTTTATTAGATTTCTGATTTATATATTCAGGAGCTCATAGAGTAATTTACAACTGTTAATTCATTGAGCCTCTAAGTGCTAGACCCCCTTTGCAAGATGCTTCTACTTCCCATTTAGAGTTAGTTGCCGTCAGCCCTGGATTTGGGCTTGACTCCATTTCTGTGTGGCCTTGGGCAAGTTTCTTTCTCAGAACTCTGGTCCTATTTCCTGGCCTGGACTAAATGATCTTTAAAGGGTCTTTGAGTCAGCCTAAGTGAAAAATGACTCTTGGAGAACATTGCGTTATTCCTGCATCCGGAGATTTCCTAACTGGGTTTGAGTCTGGGACTGATGGCTAATTTAACATCTCTCTCTCCCCAACCCTCTTCTAATAGGACAGCCCTTTTCTGGCGGATCACAAATATCCCACATTACCTGGGAAGCTTTCAGGAGCCATGCCTAATGGAGAGGCTGCCAAATCCAGTCCCACCGCCTCCCAGCTTGACCCCACAGGGAGCGGCCTGCTGAGACTGAGTGAGTGTCCAGGCCCTTGAGCTGGTGGCATCTGGAGCAGTGTCTTTGCACAAGATCCCTGCACCGACCCCTACAGCCCACAACTGGAGAATGGTGGGGGCGGGTGGATGGGACCAGTCACACCTCAGGGTTGTCCCACTTCCAAAGACAATGGCTCCCTCTCTGGGCACACTGTTTCCTTGGGTAAACACTTCAGAACCCCAGAAAACCAGGGTGTATACTCACCTTTTCTTTCCAGCTGTAATTACTCCACCCCTATTTCCTTTCTTTTATTCCTCCTTTTTTGAACCCTTTCCTGTCTATCTCATCATTCTTCTTTTCCCTCCCTCTTAGATACCCCATTCCACCCTTCCTGACCCTTCCTCTTCCTCCTCTGTCATCCTGATCATCTCTTTCCTGTCTCTGCCTTCCTCTCTGCAGCCTCTC